TCTTCAGGGAAACACTCTAGAGGATGCTCTTTGGGTCCCTTAGAACATGGACCCCATGCACATGCTCTCTCCAGACCCCTCCCAGGAGGTTCAGAAAACACATTCTGCAGGACCAGGGAGGCTTGGTCTGAGCACGGGTGTCCAGAAAAGCCTCTGAGGAAGCGGTTGTATTCCTTCTGTGCAATCTCAGAGTTGAATAGAAGAGCTCACAGAGCATTCACAGCCGAGCTGACACTGGTTAGGGAGCCTGTCAGGTGGCAGGGCTAACACCACTTCTGGTGTCGCCTTACAACTGACAAGGCCAGATAGGGTTGGGAAGCAGAGCCCCAAATACCAAGGCCCTCTTTCCAAATCCTTCACCTCCATAGAATCTCCCTCCACCCTCTAAATAAACACTCCATGTCCACCTCCCCTCAACTGGAGCCTATGAGGCTGCTGATATTTTGCTGGAGGCATGAGGTGAGAACCTCACAACACGGTGGGTGAAGCTTCCATATGCACAAAATAGGCATTACGGTGTTCAGCAAATGAAAAGATAGCTCACCCCCTTCCATGCTCCTTTGATTACTACCTTGCTCGTTAAGACTTTAAGCTGTAGAACCTTGTGGGTGTGATGAGCATTTCCCGACTGGGGCTGTCCCAGACATAGCCACCAGCCACGGGTGGCTACTCATACGTGACCGTGAGACTGAGCTCTTAATTTTGTCTAGTTTTGGTCCATTTTTACGTAAAGTCACAATGCCTCTGGCAGGTGTCAACAGCAACTGGCAACACGCCAGAACTCTGGGTTCTCAGCTCTAAATGCAAATGGAATCTTGGAGCTTCTCCGCCTCCTCACTCAGTGATGCTCCCCCAGCCTGCCACTTCCGAGTGCTCGCTCAGTGCCTGCACACAGCATTCTTACTGTCCCGGGAGAAGCAGGAAGCATGCCGCCAGAGAGGAAGCCAGTGCACCCAACCACTTTGGACTCTAGAGCATGGCGCGGGGGGGTGGAGCGCGGGGTGGGGGGTGGAGGGGGTAGGCAGGCCCCATTTATTTATATCACAGAGTGTTACAGTTGTCGGCTCTGCAGCTGAGAAACTGCTAGGGACGGGACAGAAATTGGCTTTGTCTATGTTCCCTGGCACCTACTTCTGTTGTTCAAAGGATGCCAGAAGAATCAGGGTTAGGGAGGGCGGGACAGGAGAGCTTTGAGTGTACAGACGCTCTCTGGGTGTCGTTGGAAAAAAAAAGAAAGCTCAGTCACTTTCACATCTACATCAAAACTGATACAAATGTTTGTGGGCTATTGTCAAAACTGATACAGATGTTAGTGGGCTATTGTCAAAATTGATACAGATGTTAGTGGGCTATTGTCAAAACTGATACAAACGTTAGTGGGCTATTATGGTCCATCACTACAGGGGAAGATTCCTGCTGTCCAAGACATGGTGACAAGGGTCTGTCAAATAGGTACCCTGAACAAAGCTGGGTCTGGCTGGGTCCTGTGTGGGACATGGTTACAGGGCGAGACTCAACACAGGGGTTCTGGAAGGCAAGGCCACCCCTGTTCTTTCTTCAGGCATTGACCTCACCCAAGAAGAAACAGATTCCGTTCATAAAAAACCCAGTTACAGACCCAAGAGCTGACAACTTCACAGTGGAGGTTCTTCACGGGCTCTGTCATATACAACCACCTGGGGGTCTTGTCAAGCATGTGCAGCTCAGGCTTAGGCCCAACTTGTCACTGCTGAGAGGTGGAACCTTTATGGGGTTAGACCTGTGGGAAGTCAGGGCAGTCTGCTCTTAGAACAGCCGAGTGTCTGCCTCCTCTGTTTCTGCCCCTTCATGTAACTCTACCATGGTACATTCCCCTGTCACAGAACTAAAAGCAGCAGGGCCAACAGCCATAGACGTGAGTCAAAATTTGCATTGCGCACCAAAAGGGACCTTTTGTCTTTGAAAGTTCACTATCTAGGGCATTTGTTACATGTGACTAGCACAATCTAGACCCCTCAGCTCTGCCGCCTGATTGTCTGGGCTCTCCCTGACTCTTCTAGTACATTCTCTGCCCTGTGTACAACACTTTCTTTCACCTCTAAAACAGGGAGCTCATTAGCATGAAACAAACGTCTCAGATCACATAAAGACTAAGAGGATAAAGAATGATTTATACAGAAGATACAATGTTTACCTAGCATTAGTCATCTTTTCCTGTTACAATGTCAATGTCACTTCCCCTGTAGAGACTCCTTCCCTTCCTCACCTTTTGACTGTCAACTTTCTAGGTTATTCTGGGCAATGGTCTCCACTTTCCTACTGCACTAGACCAGTCTTTGGCTAAACAGCTACCAAACTCCAGGACCTGAATGCCCTGTGAGTTTGCCGTTTCCCAGGGACTTTTGTAACACAACACAGAATACTGTAAAGCTGTCATCCTTGCTGACCCAGGAATTCTGATTCCAGGAATTGATTGGAAGGAAATAATTAAGAATGTCCACGGTGTTTCGTTGTGAGAATGCTTACATATGCTATAACAATTATAAACAACTGGAAATGATTTGATGAGTCTAGAAGACCATGGGCTCAGGGATTGTCTAATACTGGGAGACTTATAGTCAGTCATTAAGTCAATCAACCAACCCCAGGGTTGAAAGCTAAGGCCACTATTTAGGGTAAGACCGGAATTGTACAAACTTACAGTGACTAGCTTTATGGTTATTCTAAGAGTAAAGGAATAAAAGTAAACACAGGGCTGCCATTGGGGCTGTGTAAGTGAAAAGTCTTTGTCTAGAGTTCCATTAACCATAAGCAGGTCTCACTCTAGAGAAGGGAAATGAAGCTTCTCCTGCTTCAAAGTCCACGCGTCTCCGAGCATGAGCGGCATCAGAAGAAGCCATACTTAAGAGTCAAGACAAAAATGTTGAGGAGATGAAGAAAGAAGAGAAAAATGTGGGGAGAAAGGGTTTTTAAATAAGGCATTGTGGTGAGAGAGCAATCTGCTTCAAAGAGATTTTTATAGGAAATTTTGGAGGGTCACTGAAAAACAGAGAGACCAGCGCTCCAGTGCAGGGAGTGGCTGGGCAGGAGGGGACACTTCTGAGATCAGCAGGACAGCTGCTTGCCCCTACAGAGACGCCTGGTCCTCTCCTGACAAGGTCAAGTCCCAGCATTGCCACCTACAACGCAGCCTGGGCACTGAGCATCAAGCCAAACTGTCTTTCCCCATGATGTCTATTTACAGCTTCTTCCAAAATTAAAGCAAGCTGAACACCTTTGTCTCCACAGGGTCTGCTCCTGTGTGGTTCCAGCGGAGGGGTTGTGACCTGTGATCCATCCAAATCCGGGCAACAGGAGCCTGTCCCTATCCCCGGAACCATGCGATTGCCCAAGCTTGCAGTTCCCACAGAAGCTCTGGCTTCCACGGCTTTCCTTAGCAGCCCCCCACCCTTCAATTTTTGACAGTTCCTTCCATATGCTTAGTGCCAGGGCCACACTGTGTGTGGCTCTGGGGTGCATTCACCAAACCGTTCCTATGCTGGCTCTGGGGTGCATTCACCAAACCGTTCCTATGCTGGCTCTGGGGTGCATTCACCAAACCGTTCCTATGCTGGCTCTGGGGTGCATTCACCAAACCGTTCCTATGCTGGCTCTGCGGTGCATTCACCAAACCGTTCCTATGCTGGCTCTGGGGTGCATTCACCAAACCGTTCCTATGCAGCCGTATCTGTACCAAACCCAAAGCCCACAGTGGACCTGGAGCCTGCTCAGCATAGGAAAATGTTCTGCCGGCTGTTTGAAAAGGAAGGGTTTGGCAAACGCAGGAAGCAGCGGAGACTGAACTCTAGGTCTAGAATCAATGTCAGCAAAGGATGTAGATGAGAGCTACATACAAGGACTCTCGGAGGCTGCCCTCCTAAGTCCACGACTGTTAATAATAACGGTCACAAAGTTTCCTTTCCTCGGGGTTTTGGAGGACCCCATGCACAAACCCTCATTTCCCTCAGCCCCTGTCCAATTTCGAGCAGACTCCCGGTAGATTACAAGCCCAGAGGACACACATTCCTAATCTCCGTCTCCCAGCCTGTTTCTTCTAAGGATGCTCACGTACAGGGGATAACACCATCAACTCGAGCTAGCTGTCACCTGAGTCCACAGAAACACATCATCTAAAACGAGGGTGGGGAGCTACTGACAACCCAACTCTTAACTGCCATGAAAAGGTGGGCGTGGTGTGGCTGCTTCATTCCAAGGAAGTGGGCTAGGAGGGTACCCATCTTCGTTAAGCAACCTTGCTGTGGGGTCAGCTGACTTCGCTAATGATGCTTAATGAGAGACTTACTCACACACACACACTCACACACACACACACACACACACACACACACACACACACACACCGCAGGCCCACCCATCTCGTCTGTCAGCAACTGGACCCCTGATCCAAACAAAACTTCATCCTCTTAAATCCTGTCTCCAGATTGGGATGGCACGTGGGAGATGAGCTCCAGGCTGACCACCAGCCACACAGCCCCCTTGGGGGGCCTCCTTGCCTCCCTTCCCAGCACCCCAGATTCTCTTGGGACTTTGTGGGAGTCCCTTCCTCCGGCACCTCTCCTGAAGCTCCCCATGGCCCCAAGACCCACTCCCACCACATCCCGGTTTCCTGCATGCAGCTGCCCCAGAGGAACATAGAGTGGTCCCCAAAAGCAGCCCGGCCTTCTGGGGGCCCTCCGGGGGCAGGGGGATACGGGGCAGTTGGCCAGCCAGCGGCGGCCCCTCGAGGGCACGCAGCCCAAGTAACTTTGCTGCGGCTAGAGGGAAGCTGCGTCTGATAGCCCGGGGAGGGCAGGGACCCCAGGGACTCCCCTGGCCTCCGGAGCAGGCCAGGATGTCAGCGTGGCCGCCAGACATTTAAATCGGCCCCACGGGAGGCGGCGTGGAGGGGGCCGGGAAGGCGGCGGCCGACTTGGGGGACCGCGGGGTGGCCGCCGGGGTCGAGGAGCCGCGGAGACACTCACCAGCGCGTGTTGTCGTGGAAGTGCTCCAGCACCGCGTAGCCGAAGAAGGAACCCGCCGGGCCCTGGAAGCGCACCGGGCGCTGCGCGTCGAGGTTGTAGGCGCCTGCCGGGACCCCCGCGGCCACCAGCGCCAGCAGCAGCGCTCGGAGCCCCCCGGCGCCCGTCCACGCCGCAGCCGGGCCGCCCATCCCCAGCCGGCCGCCGCCCTGCGCCCTGCCCCGCAGTCGGGGCTCCCGGGACGCGCCGCTGCCCAGGGCGCGAGCTGTGCGCTCCGAGTCGGAGCCCGGGACGCAGCGATGCGCCGCAGTGCGAGCCGGAGCGAGGCCAGGGGCGGCCGCCAGCGCGCCGCGTCCTCTTGATCCCCGCGGAGAGGTCTGCGCTCTCGGAAGGAGCGGGTCCCGGGCCCGGGCGGCGCTGGACTGAGGAGAGGCGCGCCCGCGGGGTGGGCGGCCCGGGAGGCCCGGGCGGGACGGGCCCGCAGCGCCCCCTGCTGGGCGTGGCGCCACGAACACCGGCTGGACCCAGTGCTGGATCCCTAGAACTCCATCCTCTCTCTCCAAAGTCCCTTGCTCTGTGGGGGTCCAGCTGGCTGGATCTCTTCCTTTTGTCTTACCCCGCGAGCCTCACACTCACACTAAGCCCGAAAGCCACGCGAGCGAAGCAGGGCTGAGTACTGTGGTAAGTACTCGGAGTACTCGGAGTAAGAGGAAAACACTCAAGACCAAGAATCAGTTGACGTTAGTAAGAATTAGTCGCGTGGAGGCGAGCCTCCTTGACCTGGCCTGGCCAGTGCTTTCCACCTTGACAGACACGCGATGCAGCCAAATCTTGCAAACCAAATTATATACACGTTCAGCGAGCACCCGCCGCAGCCCAGCCCCTGGCAAACTTTTTCTCTCTGACTCTATGAAGTTGACTAGTTACTACTGAACTGACTGCTTGCTCAGGTAAAATCTGACCACACTCCCCCAACTCCCCGGCACTCCCTCTCTCCCTCCCTCTCCTCTGCCAAAGTCTCATTCACACTAAACACATGCTTTGCTTGTCTTTGTTGTTGCTGTTTTTCTTTCTAGTCAGGTTTGCCTTATGACAACCAGTTCAAGAGCCGGGGGGGTGGGGGTGGGGGTGGGGGTGGGGGACACATTTAGGAATTATCTAGTCACTGGTAGCCCAGGTCTTTCCAGGTGAGGAGCCTCCCTCAGCTGTCTTCAGAAGAGCTGTGACAAAGGAAGTAGGGTCACAAAGAGGCTACACGCTGTCTTCGGAGATGGGGGAAGGGGTCCATGAGCCAAAAAGTCCAGGCAGCTTCAAAAACCTTAAGACACTGGAATGTTTTCTCCCCCACCACTTCCGGGAACACAGCCCAGGGATGCCTTGGCGCCCCCCGTGTATCTGTGACCTGCAGAATTGTTAGATGATGAACCTCGTTTTCCTAAGTCACTGTATTCAGATAATTTGCATAGCTCTGATGTATAGCTGCTGTCTTAGTCAGGGCTGCTGTTGCTGTAGTGAGCACCATGACCAAAAGCAAGCTGGAGAGGAGAGGGCTTTTCCTGTTCACATTTTCACCTCACAGTTCATCATCACCAGAGGAAGTCAGGACAGGAACTCAAACAGGGCAGGAACCAGGAGGCAGGAGCTGATGCAGAGTCCACGGAGGGGAGCTGCTCACTGGCTCGCTTCTCTTGGCATGCTCCCTCTGCTTTTATATAGAACCCACCGACCTCCAATCCAGGAATGGCCCCGCCCACAATGGGCTGAGCCCTCCCGCATCAATCACTAATTTCTCAGTTGAGGCTTCTGCCTCTCAGAAGACTTTAGTTTATGTCAGGTGGACATAAAACTATCTAGCACACATGCTGTGTCCACCTACCCTAGTTTCCTTTCTGAGCTGCGATGAAACTCCACGCCCAAAAGCAACTCAGGGCAGGGCAGGGCGCATCCCAGCTTACGCGTGAGTCCGTCACTGATGAACGGCACGGCGTGAAGCTAAGCCGACTACCGTGGAAGGAACAATGGAGGAACCATGGTACTGGCCTCCTTGTAGGCTTGCTCTTTTGCCCAGGCTCAGCTAGCTTTATATATGACATAGGTCACCTGTTCAGGAAACGGCACCACCACAGTCTGAGCCCTCACACACCAGTGCACGACCGTCCCCACAGTCGTCCCCAAGGATAAACCTGGTGGGGACAGTTATTCAGCTGAGAGTTTTTTCCTGGCGATTTCACGCTGTATCAAGTTGCCAGTTAGTGTTAACTAGTACGGTAACTTAAGTTCTGTGTGTGTGTGTGTGTGTGTGTGTGTGTGTGTGTGTGTACACGACCCATAGCTTTTAACAAATCCTTAAGAGGTAAGGTAGCCTTGAAAAGGTTAGGAACTGGGAACTTGAGAAAACCTCAGAGATTGAAAGCACTTGCTGCTCTTGTGGGGGACCTGGGCTCAATTCTCTGTACTTACGAATTGGCTCACAAACAACTCCAACACCCTGTTCTGCTCTCCACAGGTACTGCGAGTATGTTGTATCCATGCTACACATATATATGCAGGCAAACAATCCTACACATAAAATAAAAACAGATAGGCCTTTAAAAGCGGTTAGGATCCATTGTCTAAAACACACTGGTTACAGCCTTTGTAAACTAAGCCTAAACGTGGTGCTGGTTAAAACCATCGCCTTTCATTTCATAAAACAGGGGCTCCTAGACATGGCCATACATCCGAATCCAGGGATAGCATTCAAAAACTAGATTTGGAGATAGAGAGATTGGCCCAGCCATTAAGAGCATTTGCTGCTCTTGCAGAGGACCCAGGCTCACTTCCAAGACCCACATGGTGGCTCATAGCCATCCTTAACACTAGTTCCAGGGAATCACTTAAAAATAAAATAAATATACAGATCCACAAGCAGTGAGATGGGTCAGGGCCACTAAGAGGTAAGCTGTTAAGCAACTGGGGATGGGAAGACATGTCCCCAGAAAAGAGATCCCCAGTCTGCATTGTGGTCCTGACTATGTAACATTATGGCAGGAAAGCCATAGACTGAAAAACAAACAAACAAACAAATAAACAAAAACCCATAGGGGCTTAAATCCCAGGTCTGATCAGCTGTGCCAGCCTGGCAAATTAATTCAACCAGGATACCAGTAAACTGATAAGCCTTTGAAATGTACAGATGAGCTGTGCTGTTTGAGGTAGTTAAAAAAAAAAAGAAAGGAACGATTATTAGTTATTCAGTGGTCAGCAGTGAGTTCAATTTCCTCCCTGTCAGGATAAGCTTTCCTGTCTTTGGGGTGGCCGAGTAGAGGGCTGGTGCCTCGTGAGTCTTCTCTTTGCTGTGAAAAGGTATCCAACAAGAAAATCTCATGGGAGGAAGTGTTCGCTGCAGCTCACAGTTTGTCCATCGTGGTAGGGAAGGCAGAGCAGAGCTAATGGCAGCGGGGGCATGAGCTGGGGCACCTCACATCTGGGCGGACCAGGACGCAGAGAAAAGGGGACTTCATACCTCTCCACTGGCTTTCCTCTTTCCCCCTTTTAAATCCAGTCTGGGAACCCAGCCTATGGGATGGCGCTACCCATAATGGGCGTGGATCTTCCACCGCAGTCAAACCACCATGGGAGCGGACGTGTCTAGAGGTGTGTCTGTCTTGGTGGTGACCGTCTTCAATCCAGCCGACGGTGAAGATAGCTGAGCACGGGCTGGGGGGAGGAGAGGCATTCTTCTTCAAAGCTGCACGCACAGGAGGCGGATTTGCTTCCCGGCACTGGGTCTTTTTAGAAGCTGCACCTCTTCTCCACATTTTTCTAACCGAAATGACAACCCAACGTTCCTCCTCCTTCGTACCCATAGATAAGTGTGACTCTCAGCTCTCATCACAGAAACGTCTTTTTGCAGCAGATGGTGATTAACAGAGACTTCCAGGTCAAGGTGCAGAGAGCTCAGCCCTAGAGGGGCGTCCATTTCACACTTCCCTTCTCCCCAAGGAAAGAAGGGTGGAGAGACTGCAGGAGCCAGAAGTGGCGGGGTGCTGTTGCACAGGACAGGGCAGCTGCTCGTAGTAGCTCACCGTGGCTGTGACTCCACACACCATGCCTGGGCAAGATCAAGCCAGAAAAATTCTCAGCACAGATGGTGGGGGCGGGGGGGAGGAGCCTCACAGCTCCCACCCCTAGCTGAAGAGCCATTGGCAATTGATGGCCACCGGGGAAGGGGGGTTCATTTTCTCCAGAGTTGGGCCCCCAGGTAGGATGCTCGAGCCCTAGCTAATGTCCCCATGCACACAATGGCAGCACAAAGTGAACTCGGTGGGTTTAAAGAGCAGGATGTGAATCTGAGGGAAGAGTATGTGTATGACTGCGCGTGTGTGAGCGTGCATGTATGTGCGTGCGTCTATGAGCGTGTGTGTGAGCCTGCATGTATGCGTGTGCGTGTATGAGCGTGTGTGTAGGGGCTGCCAGCCCACTCGCTGTTGTATTTCTAACTGAAGAACTGTGTGTAGCCCTTCTGTGATGGGGTTAACCCAGGGCCTTTTCACATACTAAGCGCATATTCATCTGTGAGTTGCCTTCCTGTGGTCCTAAAAACTGCCAGTCTTGTTCGCCTCTTTCTTTTTGGTAGCACTTTTCACTGGACAGGGTCTTACTACATAACCCGGGGTGGCCTTAAACTCTCCCTCCTCCTCCTACCTCCTCCCAACACTGGGCTTTCACAGCTGTCCCCGTGTCCAGCTCCTAGTCACGCTCCAACCTCCCCCTTTGGGTCTTTAGCTGGCCCAGCTTCGGTCGTCCAGGGGCGTGAAGGCTGTAAGTGCGTGTCTCCAGCGTGCAGTCTCCGTGAATTCGCGCTCTGTGTAGCTTGCTCCCTTGTGTGTGTTGAGAGCTTTGGCTGCAACTTCATGTCCCTTGGAATTTTGTCTTTCTTCGGAACATACTTTTCCGTAGACAAATTGTGCTTCTTTCTGGCAGTCGCCTAGTCCCTGCTGATCTACCTTTGCTGTGACCTAATGTCTGGCTTAGATAGGTGACTGGTGACAGGCAACAAATACACAACACAGACAGATAAAGGTGATCATAGATAGACAGGTAGATAATACATAACAGGTAGAGGGTTGGATAGGTAGGTAGGTAACAGATCACAGGTAGAGGGTTGGGTAGGTAGGTAGGTAACAGATCACAGGTAGAGGGTTGGGTAGGTAGGTAGGTAACAGATCACAGGTAGAGGGTTGGATAGGTAGGTAGGTAACAGATAACACAGGTAGAGGGTTGGGTAGGTAGGTAGGTAACAGATCACAGGTAGAGGGTTAGATAGGTAGGTAGGTAACAGATAGCAGGTAGAGGGTTGGGTAGGTAGGTAGGTAACAGATAGCAGGTAGAGGGTTGGGTAGGT